GAAGGAGGCCTTTATGTGCTAATGTGGTCGAACCTTGAAGACAAACGATTGAGTTCAGTTCCTTACATGCAGTATAACTTTTACGTTGAAAACAAAACAAAACTGAACAGAACATTGTACAGCAAACTGGGTACAGTGGTTGCCTCAGGGGAAATTTCTAGGGGGAAAGATGGGGAGAGGTGGCCAAGGGAACTTGGGCTTTCTCTGTAACATCAGAATTTTGAAAAGAGGCCATATCTGTATGTTGCTTAATCCTTAAGAATCAACTTTACTGTATGAATGACGAGAACAGACCTGGACTTGGGAGATGAGCAGTTCTGGGTTGAACCCCAGCTATGTCACATACTGGGGTTTTCAGGGTTCTCAGCTTTGGGTGTGTCGTGTCGCTCTTCAGGCCCCAGTGGGGATGCAGGGCCACCCAGGGGAAGAAGTGAGCCGGTGCCTGTGGAGGGGCCGACATAACGTCTGGGCACACGAAGGGGCTCGCAAATGTCAGTTGAAAGTGAAGGACAGGTTTATTTGGTGTCACACAGCCTGGCTGGCATGTCCCTCTGGGGCCCTATTTTCTTGGGAACCCAGCCAGGCCCACTGGGCACGTGAGAGCCTTGGCAATGTCAAGTGTGGACCATGGTGCAGCCAGGCAGAGCCCTGGCTGGCACGGTGCATCTCGGGGCGTGAGAAGCATGTTGTGCTGTGTGACCCTGAATGGGGAGGTCGGAGACATGGTGCTGACATCTGCAATGACCTCCAAAATAGCAAGTTATGAGCCCCTCAGGGCTGCCAGCAGGGCAAAGGAGGCCTTCTCCCCATCACCCTGCAAGCTATTAGTGACTGTTGAGAGCTCCTGAATTATCACTGGAATGCTTGGAATTCTGGTAGGGTTTGGGAATTCTGGTGAGTGATGCGTGTCCTTGGATATCATTTCCTTCTTGGGTGACCTGGAAAAAGCCCCCTCAAATGGACAATGAAGATGATAAACTCTCCCCCAAAGCTCCAGATGGAGTCGAGTCAGCGAAGTGTGAACAGCCGGCGTCTTGACTGAGCTAGGATTCCAATAGGATTCCCTCAATCCAGCCTACTGAGCACTCCCGACCACCCACCACGCTTCTAACCTGACTTTAAACACAGCCCAGTCTAGCGTGCCCCAACCAAGTCCAGCGTGCGCCAAGTCCAGTATGCCCTGGGTCCAGCAGCAGGTCTGGCGTGCACTGGGTCGGCGTGTGCCGGGGCCAGTGTGTGCCAGGTCCAGCGTGCACCAAGAACGTTTCCCTTTAGAACCTGGAGGCTGCCGGGGCCCCCATCCTCCCACACTCCACACACTGCACCTTCCTCCTGGCCTTGGCGACCCGAGCACCTGTTCCCGTGTCCCATCCCTTGCCTGATTCCCTGGTAATATTTAGTTACAAGCCTGTCTCTGTGGAGGGCAGGGAGGGGCTGATCCCTTTGGGTTCCCTGCACACAGCCCAAGGTCTGCAGCGGAGTCTGGGGCGGACCCTCCCAACAGCGGGGCTGCTCATGCTCACTCTGCCTCTGCCCTGCTCGCCCAATTCATTTTCCAAACTGGAGTCTGAATGATCCTTTCATAACACAGACCTCATCATTTTAGCCCCCTCTGGATGAAGACCTTCCGAAGCCTTCCCATTCATCACAGGTTGAGACAATGTTCCTAACGCAGCTCCCTCCGGGCCCGCTCTGCTCAGGACTCCCTGCCACAGCCTCTTCCAGTCTCCCTGCCTCCTTCCCCTTCTCCCAGCCTCCCCGCTTGGCCTACTTAGCAATAGTGGTCTTGCTTCTCTTCTGCCTCCTATTGGTGGAATCTAAACCTGTTGGAACAGGATTCTGGAATTGTGGTTCCTAGGCTTCCAGCCCTGGCTGGTTGCCGATAAAGTGCCCTGATATTCATCACACCCACAGTTATAGCTCAGGGGACACTTCTGTCATTTCTTTCCATCTACACAGAACTGCTAAATATCACCTATTGACTCAGTCTTCTACTTCCATCTTTCCCAAGTCTCCCTTAACACAGCTTTGTGTTTTCTGCCCTGAAATATATTAAACCCACTTCCGGCAGATAAGCTCCTGTAAGCTTTGCTTGTGATGACTTACAGTCTCTTCTCTGCCTTCTGTGGAAATTCGTCACAGTGTGTTTTTATGGGTTCTGCTGTGAGGCCTGAAGTTCAAAATTCCACAGTTGCCTACAGCCTCCTCCTTCCATCCCAGGGGACATATTGTGGTTATCAAAAGCGGTCCTTGACTCTGGCCAGCTCCCTCCCTTCATTTTCCAAACCCTTTCATTGGTGTGCCTTTGGGATCATTCCATGCACAGAATCCATGAATTGTCTTCTTGACCTGGTTTCTTACTTTCACCTAACCCACTTACTCTCTACTGTGGAATTCCTTGATTGACAAGTTTTCAATTTAAAGATGTCTTTTTCTCCCACTTAACAAAGGCATCTCTGAATCTGACAATTTCAGAAACATTCCATTCCGCAAACACTCACTGAGCATCTGCCATGTACCTGGCTCCCTAGGTGAGCAGGACGATGGCCTGGTCCTTCTGATCAGCCCATCACTCATGTCTAACATGGCGTTTTAAGATGAAACCTAGTTTCCTGAAAACTCCTTTACTTTTTAAGGCAATTTCCAAGTTGGCCTTTACCCCAACATTTTGTCATAATTCTTTCTCTAAATCAAGACACACTGTATAATGAAGTTTGGGGAGTATTTCCTCACTAGAAAGTTAAAAAATAAAACCGCAAGGCAGCATCTGTTTCGGTAGCTTTATTGGAACATGACGGTAACATGGAACGTGGATTTGGGGGCCCACTGCTCCTCCTCCAGGCAGCATGCACCCCACTTCTGCAGCCAGCAGAGGCTCTAGGAGGCCTCCTGAAGGGTGGGGGCAACTCAGAGACAGAGTTGAAGGAGCCTCGTGCAGTGGCAAGTGGTGAGTGTGCACCTTGACCTCAGCCCTGACCAGCTGAGTCTGTGATCAGCCAGACCAGTCTTATGGCTCCATGACTCAGAGGCCCATCTGCCTCAGACTCCTGGGAAAACTTCTGAAGAGGGGATTCCGGGGCTTCCAGAAGGAAGCCAGCCAAGAGTGAGCATCTCTGGGGGCCATCAGGGCAAATCATGCCTTCAGGTGTAGTGGCAGATAAACTGCTTAAAGCTCCTACTACGTGTCAAACACTCGTCTAGGGGCTAGACACATAATGGTCAACAGAAACAAGACCCACTACCTCCCGAGTAGGGGAGACAGACGGGGCTCAGGCAGTTGCACACACGGCTGTAAATTACAACCACGCCAATGGCTTCCAAGGTCAGTTCTGGGATGAGTGTCGGGGGCCTGATCCACTAGCGAGGGTCAAGGAAGACGTCCTCAAGTAAGTGCTACTTGAGCTGAAATCTTGTGGCCGAAAGGGCGGGACGAGCATTTCAAGTCATGGAAACAGCTCTGTGCGTGGCCCGGTAGCTGGAAGGAGCAGTGAGATAAACAAACCAAAAGGAGAGGGCCAGTAGGGTTGGGGTGAAGAGATGGAGGGGAGTGTGGGGCAGGAGGAGGCTGGAGGGACATGTCGGGTGAAAGGTGGTTTCCTCCATGTGTGTGACATGATTGGTCTTGCATGCTGCACAGCCCACTGCGGCTGTGGGGTGGAGAGCGGACTGGAGCGGGGGGAGTGGGGAATGCAGAGAGCTGTCAGGAGGCTGTTTCAATTGTCCTGACAGTGGGGATGGCAGTGGGATCGAGTGATGACAGGACAGGTGGAGAGAATCAAGGGGACAGTGGATACATGTGGGAGGACTCGAGAGGCATGACCACAAGGAGCCAGGAGAAGGGAGGTACCAAGATTGGCCCCCGGCCTTTGAGGCCAATGAGAAGGCCTCCGTCTGAGAAGGGGAACCCTGGGAGAGGAGCAGGTGCAGGAAAGGTCAGGGGTATAGTTGTGGACACGCTAAAGGTCAGGTGCCTTCAACACACCCAGGTGGAGGTGTCATGTAGGCAACGGTGGGTGGAAAGCTCCCAGAAGGAGCCTGGGCTGTAGGTACAAATCCGAGAGTGATCTCCTCAGAGATAAATTCCATGGTGACTTCAGTTACGAGAGTGTAGATGAGGCCATGGAGGGAGAGAAACCGCAATGAAAAGAGAAGGCTCAGGACTGAGCCTTGGGGAATGACCACATCTGATGGCCAGGGAGAGGATGGTGAGCTGCCGGGGGACTGAAAAGGCATGGGTGGGCAGGGAGGGGACACCATGGGGGGGTCTTGGAACCAAGGGAAGAGTGGGCTCAGGGAGGGGTAGTGGTCAGTGAGGACTGCCTATGGACACCCTCATCACTCTGGGGCTGTCACTACCCCTGCTCCTCAGGTCTCTTCAACAACTCTGTCAACAGGAAAGGGGAGCTTACCCCTTTGGGCAGAGAAGTAAAGTGCTGCTCAGAGGGGTTCCCGGACTTGCCCCATGTCACACATCCAGCAGAGGGTGCTGCGGGGCCAACTCCCCCACTCAAGTCTGTTGTGTCTCCCAACTTCCATCTCTCCTTGCCTGATGCCAGGCACTTTCCCCGGTAAGTCCATGCCACACCACCTGCTGCTGACGAAGAGCACCAGAGGGTCGGGACTGCAGTATGAAGGGCCCCCAGGCTCCGGTCTGAGCCTCGCTAGGAGGAGGGTAGGCTGAGTCAAGGAAGTATCTTGACCTCTCTCCTGAGAGGCAGTGTAGTGTCCTGTCAAGAGCATGGGCTGGCGGCCTGGGTCCTCACTCATCCTCTCACCCGCTCATTCATTCATTCAACAGCTATTTTTTGAGCATCTCCTATGAGCCTGGCACACTTTCTAGCTGAGTGGCTTGCGCAGGCCCGTACTTCTCTCACCCTCAGTTTCCCCCTCTGTAAAGCTGGGACAGTGATCTTTACTGCAAACGTTGTTGTAAGGGTTACGGGGGCTCATGCAGGTGAAGACCTTGTGCACAATAGGTGTTCATTAAAGGCTCATTTCCTTCCTTCCCTTCCTTTCTCTCTCCTTTCTGCTGTCCTGCAGAACCCACGGGGCAGTAAGAGGCTAACACTTTATTGGCAACACACTCTACTCAGAAGACAGCGTGCTCCTGCACGTACACATCTGTGCACACACGTGCACACATCCCCAAATGTCCCGCTGCCCCTGCTCATGACTCAGGGCCAGCACCAATGTGAGCTTTGAACCCATGGGATTCAACGGACCTGGACCCAGGGGGGTCCTGAACATCTGTCTGGGACCGCTGAGTACAGAAGGCTGCTCCATCTTAGGCCCAAGGACCCCAGCACCCCCCTGTGTGCTCTGGGAGTCCCCAGACTCAGGCTAGGATGTCCTTGGGGGGCTTTGGGGGGCTTCTGGGTCCTTAGTGGCTCCAAGAGTCAAATCTTGGTGGCCAGGAGCAGTATCTTCAGTGTCCCGGGGCTGGGTCTAGACGGCCTCGGAGGGCAGTGTCCTCACCGCTTCCTGGGGCGGTGTCCTCAGCGGCTCCTCAAACAGTGGCTCCCCCGGCTGCCCCTCCGAGGGGCCTCCCACATGTTCTGGAGGAGCCTAAGCCCCCAGAGGCTCTTGCAGCAGCTCAGAAGGTTGCTGGAGCACACGGCGCAGGACAGCGCTGGCTTCCTGAGGAGACACAAGCACAGGTCAGGGGACCACTGAGCAAGGCCCGTGGGGCCAGAGCCCAGCCACTGGCTGTTGCTTCTTCTAAGCCAGGCCCTGAGAAGGGTGGGGTGGGATGGGGCAGGAGACCTCCCATGTGCAACAGAGACTTCTTCCCTCAACCCACGAGGGAGCATCCCAGAGAGTTGCTCTCAAATCTCAAGTCAACTTCTAACATGCTGTGTGCCCTTGGTCAAGTTACTTAACTCCTCTGAACCTCAAATGGTGGTAAAAATAACCACCTTTCCAATTCTTGAAAGGATTAAGTGCTATAAAATATGTCTAAAAGTGTCCCACACATTGCCTGGCTCTTAGCAGGAGCCCGATTCATGTTTGCTATTTCTGAGTCTTAATGAAACGATTCCTGAGCATCTACAGCACGCCTTGCATGAGCTGGGGGAAGGTTGGGAGAAGAAGACACAGAGAGTTACTCAGCCTTGCATTAAAATAAGTTGTGAACACATCTATCTCTCCACTAGGATGTGTGCTCCTTGAAGGCAAGGTGCTTGCCTTTCAAACCCCTGCAACTGTGGCTGCACACAGTACGTCCTCAGTTAGTGTCTGTTGAGTCCATCTGATTGAAGGTGACCGGAGGTGAGTGAGCCTAATGCTTGGTAGGAAAGTTTTTAACAAAGTATTTGACACACATTTTCAGCAAGAAGAGGACGTCCCTCACTCGTGGGCATACGAACTTCCTCTCCCTGCTGCCTGCTAAGACGTGGATGCAGCCCTGCTTTCTCCTTCAGCTCTGTCAGGGAGTAGGAATGCCTTTATGATTTTTATTTCAAGCCTCATGAGGTCAACGGAGAAGGCTCAGCCTGGTGCTCCTGGTTTTCAGCACCTAACACCTGCACATCTCCCCTTATAGCAAAGAGCAGAGAGTGGGCTTGCAGCTTTGACCAGGCAACCGGATCTGTCCTGGGTCATTGTATCTAGCTCACGAGTATTTTGCATTTTCCACAAGAGATGCTGCATTTCCATTTATGGTGATGATGTAAAGTTTTCTTATAAATGTATTTCGGTGAAAACAGCGAGTTGCTGTAGAGAAGTAACTGCAAATAATGCAAGTGGGAGAGGACTGTGGGCTGGATGAGGAAGGGATTTGCAAGCGACTGTGGCTGAGGGAGTCCCAGCTCACACTTGGCCCAAACACAGGGAAGCCGGGCACTGACTGCCTGGTGTCCTAGAGACTGTCTGGTGGATCCATAGCCCCAGGGCAGGACAATCTGGCTTCAGCAATGTCTGAGGCCACAAAGGCTACCTACTTTCTTGCTTCCCTGCTTAGGCTCGAATGGTAGCTTTCCTCATCCAGTTTGAACCTGGGAGCCACCCACAGCTTGTCCTGAGAGCCATCGCAGTTCCTCTGGATGTCCCATGAAGCTCCCGTCCGGCCTCAGCTCTAGCCATCACCTGTTAAGGTCATCTGGCCACGAGGGGAATCTGGCTCACTGCTCCTTCCCCCTTCCACATAGGGAGAGGGAAGAGAGTCGTGCTTCCCTTTAGAATCTATCAGACGGGAGCTGTGGATTCAGCCGCCTGACTTTGTGAGGCTTTGTGAGTAAGGAACAGCCAACAGCCACAGCTTCCCTCAGTGCGCGGTATGGTCCAGCTTAGCCATTGCTGGGGGCCCCGCGTAGCCCAAGCTCTCCTTGTAGGCTTGGCCAGCCCCTCCTCCCCAGAACACCTGCCCTCACCTGGACCTCAAGGTCACACCCTTCAGAGGCACTTCAGAGGCTCCGGTCCTTCTCCACACCAGCAGTGTACATATTTGGCCAAGCAGGCAGATATCTACCATGGATTAACATTCCAGACGCAGCCTGTGGCTCCAATCAAGTGACTTTCACTGAAGTAATCAAAGAAAAGCTAGCTCTAGGCTAGGAAATAACTCTCTCTCTTCTTCTAAATGGCTTAAAGATCACTTAATATTATTCTGAAAAGATCACATGTTCATAGTAAAAAATTCAGAACATAGAGATTAACAAAATGAAGAAAATAAACATCCTAAATAACTCCTCTACTCAGACATATCTTTTTATACATGTCTATTCCATCACTAAATATTTTAAAATCAAATACGTCATATATCCAAAGAGACTATGTAAAAAACATATACACATGGTTTAAAGAATATTAAAAAGGACACCAATGTAATCAACTCTCAGGTGAAGAAACAGAACTTTCCCAGCACCTGACTTATTTCAGCAAATATTTTTGTATCCCTAAACGATATATTGTGTTGTTTTGCCTGCATTCTACTTTTAAATGGAATCATGTTTTATGATTTTTTTCTGTAGCTACCTTTTTTTTGTTGTTTAACATTATATTTTTGAGATTAAACTGTGTTGATCGCATACCTGTAGTTCATTTTCATTGTTGTAAAGTATTCCATTATGTGAATCGCTCCAATTTTTGTATCCGTTCACCTGTTAATGGACATTTGAGTTGTCTCTCATTTTTTATCATTTCCCTTCTCATGCCGGTTTTGAGTCTACACAAAAGTGGCCTCATCAAATGCATAGAAGAGTGTCCCTTTTTCTCTCCTGTGATAGAGTTTGTGCAGGACTGGAGTGATCTTTTCCTTGAGGGTTTGGTAGAACTCCTTTGCAAAACCAAGTACTACTGGTGTTTCATTCATCTTATTTATTATTATTATTCGTTTATTATTCATCTTATTTATTATTAATGATTATAGGACCATTCAGATTTTCTATTTCTTCCCAAGTCAGTTTTGGCAAGTCCTGTTTTGCTGGGAATTCGTTCACTGCATCTGAGTTTTCCCTTGTTTGAGGTGTTAAATTGATCACAATGTCTTCATTAACTTGCTTAATCTCTGCAACGTCTATAATATGGTCTAACTTTCATTCTTAATATTGTTTATTTATGAAGTTAATGATTAATTTCTCTTTGTAGTTCTGTCAATTTTACTTGACATATTTTTGAAGCTAGTTTATTTATTACATACAAGTTTAGAATTATCAATCTGGTGAATTGAACCTTTTTTCAGAATACGGTGACCATCTTTATCTTTAGCCCTACTTTTTGCTTAAAGTTCACCTTGTCTGATATCAGTGTAGCTGCTCAGATTCCCTTGGTTAGTATTTGCCTAGTATATCTTATTTTTCCTTCCTTATGCTTTCTACATCTTTGTTTCCTTAAGTCTATCTCTTGTAAAAACATTTGTTTGGATATAAAAAATCAAATCTGACAATCTTCATTTTTTTTAATTGGCCAGTTTGTTCCATTTACATGGACAGAGATTACTGATATATTTGACTAATCTCTTCAATGTGATTTTGTGTTTTATTTTTGCCCCACCTTTTCTAAAATTCCCCTTGTCTTTTCTTGCTTTGTTTTAAACGTCCCTTTTTTCTCATTCTCTTTCCTCCTCCCCACATGGAATTTCTACCTTCTTATAAAAATGTTACCCTGCACGTTTAACTTAATAATGTCCAGGGGCATGCAGCCCTCCTGTACTTTGTTGCCTTCCACGCCAAATGTAAGTTGGGATGAGACACAAAGCTGGGTTCCCACGCTGTGGAGACTCCATTACGTTACACACGTCTAGAGATACAGGCAGGTTTCACATCCTTGATCCCCGTCGTGGCCCCACGGCCCGCGTCTGCCCGAGCCCTGACACGGGGAGGGAGGGATGTTAACGGGGTTCCAGGAGAGCACATGATGTGGTGTCTGCCCTCGTGGGGAACACCTGCCCTTCCACCTTCCCGTGTCCAGTTCCCCTTCTCTCGGTACCAGCACCTTGGCTCTTCTTTGGGGTCCAGGCTTCCTCCTCTTTGCCCGTGTGGGTGAGGTGGGATGACCGCTTACTCTTTGCCGTGGCTCCAGGTCCGGGTACAGAGGCAGACGCACCACCCGATCCAGCCAAGGAAACTTCGTGTTGGACAGCAGGAAAGGGACCTCTGTTCCACTGGGCTGCTAGCGTGAGGTGTCAGCTTGGAGCTGCTGGGGCACACGGGAGCCTCTGACTGAGACTGAGGTCAACACCGTGTGAGACTGAGCTGAACGCTGGAGAAAGATTTCTGACGACATTTGAGCATTTGGATCCAGGCATGCTTGAAGCTACTCTTGGTCTCTTCAGTTCTATGATCCAACTCCTTGCCTCCAGCAACCCCAGTCTCTTTTAACTGGGTTTCTGCTACGGGCAGTTAACAGTGTCCTGATTAATAATATTCCTAGCTAAATGTTCTTTGAATCTGAATCTCATCTTTTCACATTGAAGGTGTTATAATACGTTCAGTCACCAGGGGTCAGGACCCAGTTTCAGTGCTACTCTGTATGAGAAGCCTTGCTCAGGTCCTCTCTGAACTTCAGTTTTCTCATCTGTGAAATAAGTTAATAATAACAACCTCACAGGACTACGGTAAGGACTACAGATAATGAATGTCAGTGCCCTTTTCCATTATTCTGGACTGCTTATAGTGCACATCATCACTTGGAACAGCCACATGCACACGTTACTCTGTTTCTTGTATCCACGCCTTTGCACATATTGTTTCCATTGCTTGAAAGTCCTTTATTTTCCTCTTTGCTGTTCAACTTCTACTTCTGTTTCAAGATTCTGTGCAGGCATCACCTCCTCTGGGAAGCTGTCTCTGAGGTCACCCAGCATTACTGATTCCACCTGGCTCCTACGGCTCCTCTGCTAAGAGACTTACCTCCTTGGGTTCACCATCAGTTTGTCCATCTCCCAGGCCAAAGGCAGCCAGCCCTTGGGTTTTTCATCTTCCATGCCACTGTCCAAGTTTACAGTAGGTGTTCAATCACATGTGTGAACTGATGAATGAAAACCCCAACAGATCTCAGTTCAGATAGTGATTCTCCCGTCTTCTGACTTCCCCAATTCACAGATCGACAGAAGCAGAAGCTTCCCGTGGCTCCTTGGCAGCCCTTGACTCTCTGTGCTGTGTCTCATGGCGGCTTCATGTCTATATCTACCTTCCCGCTGC